ATGTCACTTCGCACTCAGGAACTGACACCTTTGATGTGAAGTGTCGGTGTACAACCGCAATTTAGGACCTCATTTACTTGAGCTACAGTTCCTCACACCATCATTTGGCTATGAGGGGAGCCTCAATCACCACTTTTGACACCAGCTTTTGAGATGTCACACTTCTTGGAATAACAACTGCAAAATTGCTCTGTAATTGGTCATCTAGTTTCCTGACCACCACTAGTTGATTCAGCTAATCTGGGAGGTGTAGAGAGACTAATGCCTTCAAGCAGGTATATTATAGTCAGTCCAACACAAAGTTCCCCATTAAGTCAAGTCAAGTTCCCCATCCCTTTAATTTTAGCTTCTGCTCAAGACGATAACTGCTCCTAAGCTTTTAGCCACCCCTTTACCTCTTGCCCTGTCCATAGACTTTCTTAAGCCGGCGCCAGGAACGTCTCCAGTCTCTTATGCGAGCCAAGGTAGTCCAGAGGGTTGACCTACCTCGACGAACACGAAACCTCTCCTTCTTCACGTGTACAGCTTTCGTGTCTTGTCTACTGGGAAGGCGGTCGTCCTGATGTTCATCTGACTCCCGTGGATCCGCTTTGGTCCACCACTCATCTCAGAATCACCTGTCCTGCCCGCATGATCTTCGACTCTTTCGAAAATACATTAACGTCCCTGACCCTCTACCGTTGAGGCAATCGGAAGTGGGGATTCCTTCCCTCGCGCGATCAGCAAGTAGCTCCAAGCGTCATCCTCTTTATAGCGCTTCGGATAACGCCGGGCACCCATTCTGTTTAAGCTCGCTAAATAGTCAAAATTCCAAAGCCACAGAGAACTTCCAGTGAGGAGTAATGTCGTCCACAGGAGGGGACGAGTTCAGTGAGCACAGATGGAGAAGATCAGGAGCCCAAGGACATACCACTTCTCCCAAATACTCTTCCCAGCGCCACCTTTCGCTCAGTCCGTGTCACGTAAGCACCCAAAGTCTTATGGTGGCAGACCAGGTCGGAAAAGGGAGATATTGGTGAGATTCAGGGTCATACTTCCATAAAGAGGCGAAGATGGTGTAGCGGCAAGAGGAATACTCAACAGCCGAACAGTCCGGGTATCAAATTCCAGATCGGCTCCCGCTCACCTAAACCAAACCCTCTACCCCGGGGGACTGTGAATTCGCACCAGATTCGCCTGGGAGGATAGGAACACTGAACTGTACATCTATTGGCCCCAATAGGTGAGTTAGATTTCAATGGAAGTAGGATATGTGCCGCATCCCATCCATTTACTCTATTACTACAGTGACTCCTTAGTTCGGGTGCAGCCTCCCTGCATTCCCTTTGCCTCAAAGGAACGACGGGTTTCCCTTCCGCTTTCTCCAAGACCTGCTGCGACACATTCCAGCCGTTTCCCTATCCGGCCCCTGTCTACGTCACGACGAACCGCCGCACGCTGAACTTGAGTGTGATTTGAAATAAACACGGAACGCGCATGCATCATTCGTATGTAAATGCAGCTGGTATGTTCAAACGCATGCCGACACCCTGTATCACTGACAGCCGCCCGATGAAGACATGACGATGAAGACGACGACGGTGGCGGCAGCGAAAGATGTCCCCGCGACTATGGGGTGAATGAACAGTCGCGAACGCGCAATCATCCATCTGTGTATTTACTTGGGAATCACAAACCTCAACCTTGAGCCGACTATAATCATCTTTTCGCATGAGATAGACAAATACGGCCCATGCTGCCCTTTGTCAAACAACTCTTATCAAAGAAATCAAGGAACAACAGAGGAACCTAACAACTTACCGATCCAACCATCATTGCAACGACATTCGTACTCTTCGAGACTACTAGTAAGTACACATTTTCCATGACTTCCACAAAGTGAGCTGCGATGACAGATGTTGTTCAGGATCTGTTCGCAGTACTTGCCGGTGAAACCTACAAGAAAGTAAATAGTTGGAAAGGTCATGATAGGAGGCCTGAAACTGGCCTTCGGGAAAGGCCTTCAAAAAATCATCATTTTACCATGCTTTTAATCCAGTTACTACTGGAAGTACTGCTCAGGTGAGGACGTGCTTCGTTCCCTTTCCCTTCAGTTTCTCATTGAAATTTTGGGCACCATAAGCAGAGCCAAGTTCTGTAAAACACACAGGGGGGGGGGTCTCGCCGTCGCAGTTGGCGCCGCAGAATGACTCTACAACTACCGTTTTTGGCAGATGCCTTCCGAAGCTGATTGGTGACGCTCCCCTAACCGGGCTCGGCGGCATTTTTATCGGGGAGAATTGAGAAGAGATCTCGGAAAAGCGAGGAAAAGTGGCAGGAAGCTGGAAAAACTTAGGACTTGGGAAAGAAGCCTCGACCACAAGATCTCTTCTGCTAGCACAGAAAACCCATTCAGGAATCTCTGCAGATCTTAAAAGAAGCCAGGTCCGCTGTCCGTCACGGTGGAGTCATCGCTGAGCCCTTTCCTACCCTGACCCTGTCTCCTTTCACAACTTCACAATGCATTCCTCAATGTCACCTCCTTGAAGCTACCGACAAGATGACACGCGGCAAGGCCATTTTCAACCTGGTCACTGATCAGGAACATATGGGAACAGCTCCTCCTTTTATCTTAATCGACAACAATTAGCTACAAATGTACCGATACATGTGTGAAGATCTAATTATTAGATCTTATCAAAGTAATTCTCCGCCAGGTATTCAACAATAATTACAACCGGATCCGCATAGAAGTGTAGGGGGTGATGCGATGGAGGGGAATACGGATAATACAGGGGAGGCGGTATGGATGAAGAAGTAGTCGTAGTTGGCGCGGGAAATGTTAATATATCAGTATTACCTTCTACTAAAGGAGGAGATGGTACAGTGGCATGTAGCGCTGCTCATCACACGCCACGCACGATCCGACGGTTGCACCCGAGATCTCGTCCGTCCCACCTGAGCCTTCCATCCTTCCGGGGTCAATAAATTAGAACTAGACTCGTCTGATGGTAAGGATAAAAAAATGACTCGTGCCTGCCTACTCGGACCCGAAAGTTCTTGTATAGGCCATATCGCTTTAACTCCACTACGATGTTAAATGGAAGTAGAAGGCGTGCCGAACCTCAGAGATGATTGATCTACGCAGTCACCCGAAGTCTTGTCTTTTTACCCCTTTACCTTGCATAAATGGTTTCCTGATAATCAGAGGGAATACTGGCCCACCTCAAGTCATGTTAGGCTCAGCGAATTCGCTCTACATCCTCAGGTAAAGGTCGGGGTACACGACTAGACTCCGTTGATACAAATGTACAGGATTCTAAAAGGGTCAGAGTTGGTAGTGCATGGCGAGTGATCTGTAGAAGTCATGAAATGCCCAAAAATAATGGGATATTAAAGCTGTTTAAGTCAGTGTTTACTGTGAGGACAAAGTCGACTCCGAACGGCGGTGAAATGCGTGGCGCATTCTCTTATTGGATCGATCAACGCCAAAACCATCTTTTTCTATTATATTTCCTTTTTATTATGCCAGAGTGGAATCATTTACAGTGTCTTCACTATCCCGCGATTGCACGTGAAAGTCCAAAATAGGTAAAGGGGTTTTATAGTGGAACCTCTCGACATGCTGCTACGTTCGACGGTCGCATGGAGCCACGCGACAATGGAATGTCCATTGGCATTGTTTCTGGGAAGTGCGGGTCATAAATATCATTAAGAGGTCTTAATAGGACCTCATTATCCATCACACCCTTCTTCGAGCAACTGTTGTCCATAAATAATCATTGCCCGCATACGCTTACTACTCACTATTCGGTTATTACTCATTAATTTAATTATAAAAAATGCTCGCAAGATGTCTGAATGGTCAGTGGTCGTAAAAAGCTTTTCGCCATAAATCTAACTACTATCCAGGCACCGCAATGCTACTACTATACCGGCAGTGCATTGACGAGGAAGAGGTTATTGCCGTGCGACCGCCACGTCTGCACAACTTAGGACAAGGGATTTCCCAGGGGGCTCGAAAGAATTATCGAATCTAACTATCTAAAGAAAAGCAAATAGTCACACCAGAACACCTTGCAAGGTCAACTTGGTTTTTCAGTGATGGATTGCGAACACGTACTAATGGCAGCCGGTGGTATGACCCTCCCAGAGTCGGAATGCTAAG